CTCTCTAGTCTCAGACACTTCTATTTTCCCCTCTCTAGTCTCAGACCCATCTAGTGTACCCTTTCTAGTCTCACGCCCCTCTAGTGTACCCTCCCTAGTGCCCTCTGATGTCCCTTTTCCACTCTCAGAGCCCTCTGGTGTCCCCTCTCCAGGGTCAGAACCCACTGGTTCCCCTCTCTATGGTCAGGTCTCCTTAGTGTTCCCTCCTTAGTGCACCCATCAGCGAGCTCTGTGCCATCTAGAGACCCCTGAGCCCGCTCTGTGCTGTCCAGAGACCCCTGAGCCCGCTGATGAACTGGTCCCACATTTTGAGCTGAAGGAGGGTTTGTCCTCAAGGCTCCTCAGTGGGTGCTCCTCACCTCCAAGGCCCCTCAGCAGGTGCTCCTCGCCTCCAAGGCCCCTCAGTGGGCACTCCTCACGTCCAGGGCCTCTCAGCGGGCGCTCCTCACCTCCAAGGCCCCACAGCAGATGTGTGTTAAAGCTGAAGGTGAACACACACCTATATACGTAACTTAACTTGGGGTTGATAACAAAAAGTGTAATTTTTTTATTGGGACCTCACTGTGCACTAACCCTAACCCAGCCCTATTTTATTTTATTACCTAAGAAATAAGATATTTTCATTTACCCATTACAATGCACTCGACGGCCACTAGGGGTATGAGTACCCCCAGTAGGGAATCGCTGCCCTAAATAACCAAGCTCATTTTTACATCAGAGATATGATGATTATCCCATTGACATGAAAACTGGCTCAGACCAGATTTACTTTTACTAGGCAGATCCTAGCTATCTAACTCTTCTTAATTTGAAAGTAAAGTTCATACCTTGGGGTGTGGCTAGACAATAAACTTTTTTTTCCCTCAGCTTTTATTGTCATTACACTGTCATAAGTACAGAGCAATGAAATTAACTCTGCATTTAACTCATCCCCTTGGGGAGCAGTGGGCTGCCAGGGAGCAGTGTGGGGTGAAGAGAATTGCTCAGAGAACCAGTGTGATAGTCTGTGGGAGTTAGGCTTGAAGTCAGAACCTCAGGATTCCAAGTGCAATGCCCTAAACACTAGGCCACCACTCCCCTTTATCATTTTTTTCCTATTTTTTTTTTTTACTGGAATACTCAACATACAACAACCACCTGCACAGGAAGACAGAGCAGGATGTACTTCCTGATGAGACTGAGGTTGTTTAACATGTGCAACAAGCTGTTTGAGATGGTCTACCAGTCTGTGGTTGCTAGTGTTCTCTTCTACCCTGATGTGTGCTGGAGAAGCAGCAC